TGCACATAATGTTGTACTACTCACCGGCCTTGATGTGTGTTGCAGTTTTATTTTGGTTTATTTTATTTTGAAAGAAGTTTTGAAAAGCCAATCATGGCCAGAGTCCATATTTGCTCTCACAAGTCTTGTTCTGTTAGAGCGCAGGCTTTCCCGCTTTTGTCAGTGTACCATAAACTTTGCCTGCTATCTTCCAAATAGCTCATCTCCACTCTGCCCATTTTTGGTGCTGGATAAAGTGGTGGATGGGTTTTGTCTTAGGGCTGGTTTGTTTAATCATAGCTGACATAATAGGCCAGAGCTGCTCTCACTCTCCTCCTCCTTCTCTCCACTCCTCTAATAACCAAATATGGTGCTGGGAAAAGTGCTCGCAGGCGAGAAAGGAAGAGAGACATTCCTCAGAACGGGGGAAAAAAACTCCACAACAGTGCCTACGCCTTTTTTTTGTTTGTTTGTTTTGGGGGGGGGACTTTTTTTTCCTATAACATTAGAAACTGCCTGCTGTTGTGTAATCATGCTCCGTGTCTCCCTGATTGCTGGAGCTTAGGCAAGCATTTATTTCACTGTTTGACACTAGAATGGCTGATTTTAGATCATTGACAGTTGACAAAGCTGACTCCACTTGAGCAGCAACAGAGATGCTCAATACTTTTTAATGTAAAGGCTTAAGAAGGTTTAGATGCCTCAGAGGTTTATTAACTATTCATTAGTAGTATACAATATTAATATGTGGAGTTGCCAAACAGTGATGGTGTTAAATGAAGCTCCTCCGATCATTGGCAAGAAAATGCTACCTCCAAGACTATTGTGCTTGGCCTTTTGTGTCTGATCAAAGCTAAAAGGGTGTCCAAAAATTATTAGCGGTTGTTAGAGGTGATGCTAGATCAGCATGAAGCTTAACTGAAACTGTTATTCGATTAACATTTTTGCAGCGGTTGGCTGAATTGAGTTTTTGTTGCATTTGTTTTCTAGTAAAATTACTAAGCACGTCACTGCCTGTTAGAGAGATTTGCCTGCTTTTGATGCCTTGTATTAATACAGGTTTGAGTCTTTTTAACCTTTGTTTACGAATGAACACAACTTGTGAAATAGTTTAGGTGGGAAATGCACAAACCCTTAACATGCAGGCATTAACTGCAGTAAATCGACTGTAACTGTAGTAAAGAGTTTTTGAGGAAGTGATGGTTGCAGTATCATCAGATGGTGTGCAGATAGTGTTTTGTTTTTTTGTTGTTTGTTTGTTTGTTTTTTTAACTCTGCACCACACTTTACCAAAGATTCATTTGTGTAAAGTGTAAGTTTTCGCAATATGATCAGCTATCTTAGCGAGACTGGCTAACATTTTCATGCGTTGAGTGTCATACAAAAGCTGGGCAGGTTTGTCAGTTCGGTACTTTGCATCCTGTCTGTTTTGCCAGATAACTTGTAAGTTTATAATTTAGTCTTAATCAGGATCTTTCTTTAGTCTGCTTGTTCTCTTGTTCTTTTCCAATCCATTGCTTTTCCGCTTTCATTTCCAGTTCATTTCCTATCTCTTTATCATTTCTGCTCATACTCATGAACATCTCGTCTTAAATAATTCATGTTCATACTTTAATTTATCACGTGTCTGTGTGTCCTGCAGAGTTTAAGGAGGCATTCCTGCTGTTCGACAGGACAGGAGATGGGAAGATCAGCTACAGCCAGTGTGGAGATGTCATGCGGGCCCTGGGGCAAAATCCGGTTAACGCCGAGGTGCTCAAAGTCCTGGGCAACCCCAAGTCTGAGGGTGAGGGAACAAGATTGAACGTACTGGGTGTTACATACAGCAGTGACAAAAGGGAATCTTCTCTGACACAGGCCTGCCTTATTTATTTTTACTTTTCTGCAGAGATGAACACCAAAATGCTCGACTTCGAGCAGTTCCTGCCCATGTTCCAGGCCATTGCTAAGAATAAAGATCAGGGGACGATGGAGGATTTCGTGGAGGGACTCCGTGTCTTTGACAAGGAGGGCAACGGCACAGTAATGGGAGCAGAACTACGTCATGTCCTCACCACGTTAGGCAAGCTATATTGTTATCATTTCTTAATAGCTATTCAAATGGAAATGTTGGACTCTGTTGGGATCACACTACTTACATTGATTTCAAGTTCCAGAAGCGTATTGTTCCTGAAATTGATATCCAAATTGATATCCAGGGAATTGCAAATGTATTTTTATCTTTCCAACATTTTAATTTGTAAGTTTTAAATTACTTCTGTTATGTTCCATTTATCAGGTGAGAAAATGACAGAGGAGGAAGTAGAGACGCTCTTGGCAGGACACGAAGATGCAAATGGGTGCATCAATTACGAAGGTGAGAGCTGATGATATAAAAGGTCAAGATGGGATGCTGGCTACAATTAAGCTAATGCAACAGGATGTCATCATCTCAACTCATCTCAAAATTCATGCATGGCATTGTGTGTAGGCTATGCTGACTTCAGTTATTGTGCATTTTCTGAAAAGTCAATTGAATGTAGCTTAAAGTTATGTATGTGTGAGTTTGGCGTCCATTTCACTGAGCCTTTTGAAAGGGGTAAAAGTAAAGTGTCACATAGACATAAATGTGCTATTAAACATATCAAGTGTTCATATGGATCTGAAGCAATGCAAACGTTCCTGTGCTTCAGCGTAAACGTAACCCTGCAAAATTCCTTCCTGTGACCCTTCAGGGGGCTCCGTATCATTCATGTTGGCGTCTTCTAATACCTGTTCTTACCTCTTCTGTTTAATGGACTTCTGTAAGAGGCTCTGTTTAAATGTCAGCGTCTGACAGTGTGTTAATGTTCTTCTTCCACAGCGTTTGTTCGTCACATCATGTCAGGCTGAGGGCCGGTACGGGCATTGTATACCATTGGATAGCACCTCCAGGCTTTCCTGCTTTTAGTTTCCAGATAATCCAGCTGCATTAGGCCATCCTAACGCTAGTCAGCTTTAGTTGCACTGTTTCTATTGGTAAATTGGGACAGTGCGCTGTTGCTAAGTAGATTTGACCCATAGATGTATGTGGGAAAGCCTGGTGGTCTTCCTCGTTTCTACTTGAGGCTCTGACCCATGTGTAGCCTCCTGCTCTTCTGTCCCTCTCTCTCCTGCAGCCCTCTGTCTTGGCCCCTGGCCTGCAGCATGGCCCTCTGCATGTGTCTATGACTCCCCCCTATATTTATGGGGATATGGTGGACACACAGGGAAGAGACTGGTCTCATTCAGGAAAAGCCCGGTGGCCATGAAGCGAAGGCATTCGAACTGACTGGTGTGGTGGTGTGGTTATGTTGCAGCTCTTCTAATCTCGTTTGCATGTCACTGGTGCTATTAAACAGGCCTTTACTATACTGGTGTCAGAGGTACTGGTCTTTTCACAGATGCAACACACATATAAGATGTACCTTTTCAGATAGTCATGTTTTACATTTTTAGATGGTATAGTCACCAGCTTTGGGAGAGTGGACCAGTCCCTTTTTCTACTAACAAGAGAATCGCAATGAGTCGCTCCTGTGCTGACTGTTTCTTTCCTCTGTATTACTGGAAACTGAATTTGTAGCTGGCCGTCTCTCAACTGGACTGTAGCTCCCTTGACCTTCTTCGCTTTTCTCTTCTTCTCAGCTAGAGGAAAGCATACAACGAGGATGGCTTCTCTAACCAGCTCTTTTTGGATCTTAGATTGCCAGTTGCTTTGGCTCAATAGGAGGTTGAGGTGATTTCACCTCTTTCTCTCATCCCCGCCTCTTCAACCCTTCTTTTGCTCTGGGCGAGCAGAATGTGGAGAGATCTGCCTCCAAATGCAGCATCTCCCACCCAGGCTCAGCAAAGCCGGATGAGGAGGGGGCATTACCTCCACATGCTGTAATTGGAGGGGGTCTCTATAAAAACTGATACCATGAAACTCACACTTCTCTTTTATTTCTCCTTTACAGAACTGGTCAGAATGGTTATGAGCGGGTGAAGACGAAGAGCAACCCACTGTTTTTCTTCTTTTTTTTTTTTTTTTCATGTACCCCCTTTTTCCATTTAGCTTCTTTCCATGAGTTATTACTCCATCTTTAATTTAAGAAGTGCCTTTACATTCCTCACAAAAGATCCAGGTTTTGCTTCCAGGCCTTTTCACCTGTGTGACCAACTTTTATTCATTTGGGTTTATATTACCTGCAGCAGCATTTCATCATGTAAGAAAACATAAATCATTATGCAATAACTTCTGATCATTATAATTTTTTTTAGATAAGACCTTTAAAATACATATACTGTCACCAACCTGCTGTGTCATTGGCTAAGACTTGCTACGGCTGAATAAAAGTGTTTCTGACTGTACGGTAAACCAGTGTATTTAAAGCCATACTAAGGCAGAAAAAAAGTTTTCTGTGTTTAGAATTCAAACAGATTTTGTTGCTGCATTTAAATAAATGTTTTCTGAGAACCCATGTGGTTGTTTTGTTTGATTTAGTATGATACAGTGAAAGATATTTTGCTGTATTGATTTTCTTTATTTGTGGGGGGGGGGTTTCTGCTGACACAAGAGGGCAGTATTACTGCTGATATCTGTCTTGCTTGAGCCTTCAGTGCAGAAAGCTGCTCTATTCTGCTCCCTTATTCACATGGGGGCACCACAGCGTATAGCTGCACACATTCGATTTTGATTTTTACACCAGATGCCCTTCCTGGTGCAATCCCCAAGGGATTTTGCATCCCAGAATCAAACCAATGATCTTTCACTTCTTAAGCAAATGTGTAAACAACTACACTTGCATTGGTTGACTGTCAGAATTTACAGTTTATACCAAAGACATGCCTTCAAAAGCCCTTTTTGCTGACTTGAGCCAAATTAGAATTATTGTACAGGAGTTTGTTTCCGGTGACACTAGTTTCTAATGTAGGATCTCATCTGTTTGCAGCAGCTGTTTAGAAGCATTAAAAGTTTTGTTTTTTATATTTCTTCTGGCCATGCTGTAAATTTTCAGAGAAATGAGGAAATGACAAAGCACAGACATGAGCAGTAGAGGGCTGTTTGGTGGCTTCCTGACCTTTTCTTCACTTTCCTCACAAGCAGCCACAACTATTTCCCCTCATTAGGCACTACAGCTATTGGAGTGTGGAGCTCGTGTGTGTGGGGTAAGGTTCAGGAGGGTGTCATAGTCCAGTGCTGAATAGGTTGTCCACTAATTACTCGGTGTGTGTGTATGTGTGTGGTCGATGGAAGTCAAGGCTATTGATTATTTTAATCCTCCTATTTGTGAGTCTGTGATCCTCGTGGCTCTGCATTCGACAGGGGAATCACTAATGGGCCTCAGCACAGCCTGTCTCAGACCTCTCCCCGTCCAATTAACTTTCAACTGGAATCTGCCAGGAGAGAGAGCCGGGGGCTGGGCCCAGGCGCGGTGCGGCTACATCCTCCTTTTTCTGCTCAGGAGCAACAGATTCACCAAATCCTTTACGTCTAGACTGTCTTCAGCTCTCTACTGTAATTAGATACTTCACTTTCAGCCAGTGATCTAAGAAAAATTCAAGATGCGTTCTCTTCAACATGGAGATGATGTCTCCTTCTTACTGGTTTAAAAAGTGATGCAGTGCCTACTCTAAAAAGCTACTGGTCCTGAATGTGGGGAAATTATTCACAGAAAGCAAGATTTGGGAATTTGTGTGCAAACTTTATTTTTACAGCACATTTGGGCCTTCTTGTGAACTTTAAAAACATTTTGTGCAATGCACCAATAATTATGCATCATCTGAAATATTGCCCACCTTTTTTAATCTTGATCATTTCATGTGTAATATCAGACTTTATTGATTATTAATAAACATAAAGGTGGTTAGTAGTTTGCACAGATTTTTGTGGTGAAATTAAAAGCTACTGATCCACTTAGATAACTTTTAAAAAAGCCCTGGAATCCCAATTACTTTAATTCTTTATGTGATTAAAAAGAGATCGCATATTCTTTTTAATATGATTTTGGTGCTTGTAGGTAAGAAAAAACACCAGGGCTGAGATTTTCAGTCTTTCAATCAATAGACAGAAAATTCCAAAACTAATCACTCGAGTAATTTCTGAGGCAAAAATGCACTAGTTCCAGCTTTTCAAATTTGAGCGTGCATTGCTGCTGGACAAAAATAAGACATGAAATGATGCGTCTTTAGGAAATTTCGATGGGTTTCAATGTTTTTTTTCTTGGGTTGAGAATATAAACAGTAATGAAAATAACCGTGAGTTTGATTTATCAAATATTTGAGGTGAATGAGTGAGGGAACTTGGTAAACATGTTTACAATAGCATTGTACCTTAATTATAAATAATGTGTCCTGATATTTCATGATAGTCTCACATAAAGAGACCAAAGGGTATAAGTGTGTGGGACTGGCATTGCTTATTTTGCATGGACTCAAATATTGTTTGCATAATAAAATTATTATCTTCCTTACAGGGACAAAAATCTAGTGTCCAAAATGTGAATAATTAAGTTTTACACTTAAAGGTTAAGGTTTGGGTTAGGTGAGGAACAGAGTGTCTGTGTGAGAGAGTGAGATTTGGAGGGAGGAAGGGAAAGAGAGAACGAAAGAGCCGAGTATGACATCCATAAAATCACTGAGCTGCAAGAAGTAAATTCAGATTTCAGCCAATATTTGCAAAGAAAACAGTTGTATATTTTCGTTAATGGTGAGCTTTGTGTCAAAAGCATAATAGATAATTGTCAAGACCAGTTTGGATTGTTTGCACAGCTGATTCTACATTTAAATGTATACATTACCTGCACGTAGTGGAGCCTTTTATAAGCTGAGGTCAATATTGTCAAATATTTGTTTGTGTCTTAGTGTCTTAACATATATTGGAAATCCACACTGAAGCAGGCTGCCGTTTCGATTTTGACTATAGGTCCACGGAGTCATGTCATCTACTCAATTCAAGTCAGTCCAGCTGGTCAATTCAAATAAAAATAAAAAGGTCGTGTGCGTGTTTATGAGTGTAGGTGCCTATATTTAGCACTGACCTTCACCATGCCAAAACAACATGCAAGAACACAGAAAGTGTAGGTATAGATATTTTTAATAGCAACTGTCAACTCAAACGTTTCAATATACTTCATAGCCCATCCCAAAATGACTCTTTTACATATGGTGATTCTTTGACAAGGTATCTCAGACATGGCAGTGTAATTCTAGTAAGGTGTGAAATGCACAACATTTAATGAAAATAAAACACTGGACTTGTCAATGTTTCACCTCCCCAGTATCTTACATGATTTATATATCCACTCACACATATTAACATGCCCACGTACTCACATACACGCACGTGCTCTCAAACACACACAATATAATGCACTTGGCAATTAAAATTTCAGTACACAAAAGTGCCATCGATGAAATGCATTGTGATATGTTTCCTTGCAATGTTCAGATGCTTTGTTTTGTCCTGCCAAGTGACATTCGGCGCCATAGTCAAAAGAGAAGAGAGGAGTCAAACATCTGTTTATTCAAATGGCCTCGCTTTAATCAGTATCGTCCCAATGCTCGCTGAATCACAACAGGGATTTAATTCATTTCAATTGGTGTAATTCACTTTGAAGCTTAGAGGAAAGTATTTTACAATGATGAGTTGCAAAATGTATGCAGGCCATTCAAACAGATTGTTGGAAAGCGGAGCAGAAATGTGTAAATAAATACTGTGCAGGTAAAGATTGCGACACGTTTGTCTCAGCTTTGTTAATTAATGGCACCCTTAACACCATCATTGCAGCACGACAGCCAGACTTAAGCTCTTTCATTTATTCTAGTTTGCACAATGTCATTTAATATATAATACATTACAATTCTTTAGATGTTTTAGAGCCACAATGTAGAATTTGAATTTGCACCTATATTGTACATATTCTGAAATTCATATTTGTATTCAAAGGGCACCAATAAAGGACTATTGGCACAGATTGACCTTATTCCATTTTTCTCTGATTTTCATTTATTCCTTTGTTGTACGCTGCAATTTCAAAATGTCTTTATGCAGATATGTATGAGTGTGTGTGTGCTTGCTTGTATTCATCTATGTGCATATTTTTGTGTGTGCACTGCATTTCTGTGTTTGTGCATCAATTTGCATATGTATATGTCTGTGTAAGTGTCAGTGTGTCTATATATATGTTGGTGTTTTGTTTTATTTATTTTTATTGTTCGCACTCTGCGGGGATTAAATTCAGTCTGGGTAGATGAGGAAGCCGGAGAAGGTGCTGTACTTATTTGTGTTTCCTCCGTGGACCTTCCCTCCGTCCAGCTGCACACACACCTCATCACCTACGTCCAAATGCAGGATCACACTGTTGGAGGCATAGTCGTAATTCTGATCAGCATCCTGAGCAATGGCGCTTGCTCTTACCTGTCACCGACAGAGGACATACACATTGACAATTAGAACACGGACAAAACTGCACAAACAACTGCCTCATAGTCAGCGAGAGCTCCTTGTAGCAAAAAGTGTCATGCATCAGTCTCCACATTCATCACATTATGCTTATTTTTAAAACTGTATTCTTTAAAAAATATTCATTTATTTTAGGTTGGGTTGTAACTCATTATTACAGCCTATACCTCAGAGTTATGGTTGTGACATAACCTCCATCAATGATGCTGCTTAAACACATGGATGGGACACTGACCTGTAACCTCAGAGGTGAACACAGCTACTATGTCTTTTATTGATCAGCTGCTCGTGGGACTTGAGGGCAAAATGCTGGGTGATGGAGAGCTGCATGGTGGTGGAGACAAGCGGACTCACTGGAGACAACGTTTTGTCTATGGGGAAAGTGGTTCAGCCGAGAAACAGCATCACTATCCACATCATCTATTGACCTGTTGCTTATGATGCTGGACCAGCTCAATATGCATGATATTGAGTGGCTATGCTTAAGCTAGACAGTTTCACATTTGCATGCTGTGCTTGAGTTTGGTATTATTGAGCAGGCAGCAGTGGATCTTTACTTGTTTGTTAACACATTTAATTGGATTTGCTGTGTGTGGACAAATACACATGCCTAGATTGAGTTACTGCTGTACAAGAAATAGGATTTGTATTAAGTGTGTTATTTAAACTTGCATATACATGTAAGGGGGGCAGATAGTAAGTATATACCTTGCAATATGAATAATCTTCAGGCAATCCAGAGTTTAATTTAAACAATATTAAAGCGGTTTCAGTGTTTAAAAATGCACAGAACATCAGCACTCCTTAAAAAAATAAAATAAAAAAGAAAGAAAGCCCTCTAAGTAGGATGTATCAATAATTCTGTTGTAGCGCCTCCAATCATCAGACACATGTCAGCCATCAGTGGCCTTATGTCTGGCTCAGTGTCCATCTACGGTGGGAGCACTCAATCTATGTCAGCAGCCAGACAAGCCACGCACATATCCATGACAGCCACAGAATATGATCTGCAACTCAACTACCATCATGTCATTCCCGTCACCGGTGCCTCTTTCTCCCCAATGAGCATGCATCAATTCGAAAACAGTCAATCGCAGAGCAACACGGCTCGAATTACTGTAACTGAAAAAATATGCTTGTTTCCCACTGCACCAATCTGTTTTTCCCTTAACTGAACATGCTGTTAACCATCTGTCCAGCCTGGAGTTGGATTGTATTGCGGGAATAATATCTGTAGGTGGTCCTAAATGAGACGATACTGCATGTTGGTGACCAGTTGTTAAGCATGGCCCTGTCCGTTCTAAACCAGATTGATTAAGGAGCTGAGAAGTCAGTCTCTGAGGGCTCGCAGCATAAAAGACACTCAGTAAAACTAACCACAGCTATTGTTAGGCTACTCCAACAGTCTTGTTTCATTACATTAGATGCCCTGATGGAATACAGGTATATTCTCCAGTCCACCAGGGAATGCTTCATATATAGTATGTAGTTTATTGGGGGATTTTTACATTAAGATAACCTTAAAAAGACTTTTATCTGAATAGCTTTTTCTCACTGTTTTAGATCTATTCATATTTCTTAGCATGTGTTATTTAAAAAAGATGCATTTCAACACTTTGTTTCTTTTCATTTAATTCCTTTCATTTAAGCAGCTAGCCTGCTCCTATAATGTTTGCATTTTCCTAAATCTGTGAAAGATTATCTCAAAAAGACCTAATAACCAACCAACTGCATGCTTCTCGTAAAGCTAACTGAGTCTTACATTCTTTAAATCATTATCTGTCCATGTTAGTGCTATCTTCTCTATATTCAAAGCAATATCAACAAAAGCAACTTTTCTCACATGTATTTTTCATCATCACCAGTTGACTCACATTTAAATGCCTAAAAAGAAAAACATTTACATCATTTAGAAAATGGATATTAGGCATTTAGCAAATAACAAATACAATTTTTGTTAAGATTTGACCCGTACTTTTTTTCTAATTTTGGAGACCCTTGTGCTAACCAGCCTGACCAATTAGTTTAATTAAACATTAGTTGTAATTTACCCTTTCTTAGACCCTCAGAAGACCATCTCTCAAACAACAAAACCAATACACTGTCATCTATAAAGGTTATATTGTTCTGCTTGACATGTGTAGTGACAGCCAATAAAACATTTGCATCACTGGCTGCTTCTGACAGTGATGCTGTTGTTGTGACTTCCTATTGATACCAGGGATATGTCATCCAGCTCATTATTTTGGCCAAACAGTGTCATGGAAAGCGATGCGGGGAGCTCTGTTCATCCCTCAGGCCATCTCATATTCTAACGACTTTTATAAAAATAAATTTAAATCTATAAATAAGAATAGCATTGATCACTCAGCAAATCTAATTTAAATAGTATATGACATTATGTGAATAGATACTTCAGCTTGTGTTTCTGTGCTTGAAGGAATAATACAACCCATCCAGTGATGCAGATACCAGACAGAGAGGCATGAGGGAGACGTGGTGGGATTAGGGCAGGAAGCCGGCAGAAGAGATGGATACGGCTGGAGGACACAAACTGATCCTTGTGAAGCAGGCAGCATACAGTGCTGATCCTGGAGTTGGAAGGGTTGTGAGCCGTGAGGCAGGGGCCCCCGGGGCTTGCCTGTGGCTGTCTCTGTCTCCGCCTAGCCCTTTCATTATAGGGCCTCCAGTAAACACGCCTGGGAGCTGAGGGCCACGGGCGAGAAAGAAGGAGGGGGGGTGTAAGGAGCAGCTGCAGTGTCATTTTCTATACAAGTGGAGCCGCAGCACAAAAGACAGGCAAGGATAGACAAAATGAAGGGAGAGTGGAGAAAAACAAGGACCAGAGAGTTGAGGAAGGGGGGCCTAGAGTAACAGACTGATCAAGCGAGGCTATTTTGTGAGACCAGGGAGATGTGGGGGTATATGAAGTCTTGTTTTTATCTGTGGTGCTTTGCTCCACTGGTAATAAAACTGACAGGATTCATTCACTGTGATATACTGACCTCTTAGAGCGGAGACAATAGAAAAGTAGCTGTTAAACTTACCTAAGGGACTCCTGCACATGGCAGGGGTGTTGGGGTGGGGGGCACGATGTTGTGGAAATAGATTATTTATTGAATAGGTTTTCCCTCTCCTCTGGGAGCCCAGGGATTACATGGCGACAAGCGACTTAAGCACCGAACCGTGCCTTAGCTTGCTGTTACCTGCCATTCTGCATTGTAGCCAGTGGTCTGTGGCACCTGTGTGCACTGTGACTTCTTTTAATTATTGTGTTTAATCAGGAGCATATAAGCAGATTTTAAACAAAAATCAGAATTCAGACAGCAAATCTTACTGTGTATCAATGGCTTTCCCTCTTCGCCTCCTTCTGTGGGAGTTAATTCAGGTACCGGTCATTACAGCAAGTGATGACATTTTAACATTACTGTGTGAGATAACTTGACCTTTAACTGAGCTATTAAAAGAGCCCGTGTAAGATGAAAATACAAGGGAGAGATAAAATGAGAGTCGAAGCGGTGTCTATTTGTCTACATTGCATATTGCAGCAAGAAAGTTTAATACATAGATATGTACAGAGTGGAGTGTTATAGAATTGTAAATGTGTAGGTGAGCAGCTCGCATATCAGTTAATGAGGGGAAAGGAGAGACATTCAGTGGTGTATTATCATCCTTCACAGCATAAAGCATGCCAACATTAGCAGGGTCTGTACTAATAGCATTTGTTACCAATCTAGAATATTAACTAGAATTTAACTCTTATATTATAGGCAGTGATTTGACGAAGGAGGGATTCAACCCATTTATAAGAGCGCTGTCAACAATGAGAAGGGCTTGTTGACAGTCTTCTGCAGAGCAAGGCTGGATGCATTGAATCGTTAAGTATCTTAATGATATAATAGATATCTAGCATATTTACCAATTTTTATTTCTTGTGTTCAGTGCAAATAATATAAAGGGCAGTTAATCAGCTGGGCAAGAAAAGTGTTAATCAAAATTTCACGTCGTACTTTAGAATTAAACTCTAAGTCGATTACAAACATGGAAGCAGCTGAAGTGTGACCTCCCTCCTTCAATCACAAATCCCTTGGCTCTGAAACGGTGTCATGCTGCAATGATTTGTGAAAGTTAGATTGAGGTGTGTGCAGGTAGGCTTTACAGGGAGGGGATTTATTGAAGGTAATAGGTATTGGATCTATAGGAATCCCATGGAAGCCTCGCCCCAGTCAGCGCATCCTCCTGAGATCATGTCACATGACACACTCGGAGACTCCATGCAGCATGCTAGTTTTAAACATTATCAGTTGAGATAAAAGTGAAGCTATACAACTCGAATGTTTCCAGAAGGCATTTATTGGCATTCTGAATTAATTAATGCACTCATCTTACAGTGTCTCTAACAAGCATTACATTTGCTCAACTAGTGCATAAACAGAGCTCGCAAGACCTGTTTTTCTCTCTCTCGCTCGCTCTCTCTTTCTCTAGTCGACCTTGATCACTTGTCAAGTCGAGACGTGTTGAGTGGGAGTCCATTGGTCATCATGCCTGATCTCATCCTGGCCTTCACCACCAGCCTCCCAGATGCATCGTCTACCAGCCCACTGTCTCCATACCTCCATTAAGTCATCTATCTTCCTCTGCTCCACCCCTGATCTTGCCATCAACTCACTTGTCTTGTTTTGCTCTCCCTTTTCAGAGTCTTTAAATGGACGTCTCAGCATGTCCCTGCCATGTCCGGTCTCTCGTGTTTCATTCATTCTTGCTGAATCTTTCTGAGATTATTCTCCTGGCCTGGCTGCCGCAACACAACATATAAGGTTATAAATGACCTTACCTGTTAGATAGGTAACAACACAAGTTGAAAGGCAAATTTGTGGCAATGGCAATTCGATCGACTAAAAAACAGAAAAAAAAGAAGAAGAAAAAAAGCAGCAGGCAGAGAAAAATATCCAATAAAGCTTCAGCACCTACGGCAATGGTAAAACAGGCTGTTTGATTCTATAGCCAGGAATGCAACCTGTCAAACACAGTGCCCTTTTAGTAAACCCTAGCCACTGACTGGCCTCAGGCACAATACCCGCCTGCCTCAGGGCTTCAATAACTCCAAACATGATCAGGCATTCTGCAGAATTTCATTTACACTCCATTTCCATCTACAGGCAGCTCTGTTTGGGTAGATCCCTGTTAGGTGAGTGCTCTATTTAACAGAACTGTTTAAAGAGGCCAGCTCACGGGTGTCAAATGGACCTGGGTGAGGTTAAATAATTGAGTTGAGTGAAAAGATAATTAATGGAGAATCAATGAACAAGCTGGGAAGGGGTTAGGAGAGGAAAGTATAGCGGGTGTTCAGGGGATCTCATCTAAGATGTATAAATTATTTAGCAGTCTAAAATGACTTGAATGACAATATGGAGCATTAGGCAGACAGCCTTAAACACATATTCACCTTTGTGGTCTCAGGCATATATAACAGTGCATCAAATATCAAACATTGGGTGATGAATTATTTTAAACAATTAATTTTGCATCTTCAAAACCAAGTTTTAATCATCCTACTTTAGCACAGCTGCAATGATAAAGTAAACTGTACGCATGAACCAGCACTAAGCCATGTTGACCGACAGTCCTTGATACACTACATGTCTAGAGAGTAAGTTCAGAGCAGAGTGCATTTGCATTCAGAGTCCTTGATGAATGAATGAATGCGTAAAAAGAAACTTGAAGAATGTTTCTTGAATTTGGAGTTCTCTGATAAAATCCCTGTGATTTATCCCACCTCTCCTCTCCCCTCCCCCCGTCAGCCCCTCTGTCTTTAATTAGTGTCTGGGGAATGAAAGAGGGGATGAGTGGACTGTCAATTTTACATTCATTATTTATTTAGCTGAGGTGTAAACTGGCTGGTCCACATTCTGACAGACATTTCTCTTGTGCTCTTTTGCACTTCTGTTTAGGCGATAATCAAGTTCTGTGTATGATACTTACTAATTAGACTGTTCCTTTCGGCAGCAGCGGCTGCATTCTGCCACTTGTCATTTAGCCACAGTACATGTGGGAATGCAAATACCTGTAGCCGCAGTTTTAGACTGTATAGCATGAATTCGCCTTAATGAGGAGAAAGATTGCCGTTTCATTCTTTGGCTGTCATGTTGCCACCTGCTAAGTGGAATGTGCTCTGAATCTGAAGAGCTCAATGTTACAGAGGTGAATATGAGTCAATGGTAAGACGGGATGGTCAGCAGTAAATAAAAAATAAATAAATCTGCTGCATGGTCATGTGTGTGCATACATACAAATACATACTTATACATTCTCTATTTCAGCGTCTTCATGCATGCGCATCCTCACACACACACGCACACACTTGTACTCACCAGTCCGTTCTTCTTCAGGTCTGCCCACATGCTCGTCCCGTCACCACCTCTCATTAGAACATGGTAGGTGAAGAAATAGATGCCAGGCAGTGGGCAGGTGAATTTGCCGGTGCTCGGCTCATAGTAGTTACCAACATTTGTCACCACATCATCAAACTTCAGTATTTCATTGCCTTCGTGTTGCTTTCGTAGCCCTGCGTAAAAGGCAATTTTGGGAGTGTAGAGTGAGGGAGAATAGCCACCAGGGCCTGGACCTTGGGGACCCTGTGGCCCTGGTTTTCCTGGCTCTCCAGGGGGTCCACGTTCTCCTGGAGGCCCAGGGATCCCTGGAGGCCCTCGAAGCCCAGACTTTATCTTCTTTCCAGAGTAATCCTGGGGGGGTGGAGACGCAGCTGTCAGCTCTTGGCCTGGCTGAGACGTGGTGTAGGGATCACATACCATCCTGCAGCTTCCAAGCATTTCATAATGGCTCCCTGCATTTCCAGCATTCCCTCCTTTGGTTGTGTGGACCAGCAAGGGAATGGCAACCAAGAGTATTAGAACCATTGCTACACCTACAGCAGCTCCAATGACGCGTTTCCTGCGGCTGAGCCGTGAAGCGGCCAGCGTCAGGAAGTCCTCTTCCCCCTTGGCTGGAATAGTGCCGGCCAGGATGAAGCCTCTCAGAGAACCAGTATGATTTGCAAAAGAGACGAGGAGGACTTGGGGGGGTGTGGGGAAACAGCGTATCACTAGAGCAACTATGAATGAGAGGACAAAATGGCAGAGAGCCACGAAGGAAACAACCAAGGGAGAAAATCCAAGAGAAAATTTAAATGTCCAGGGTTCAAAATATTATGACTATATGACTGAAATAATACAAACTTCACACGCCACAGTTTTTAGAGAAGTAAGCACAAGAATCTCGATGTCTCAGATTTGTGGTGACATGGTACAAAAAACACAATTTAATTGATTAAGTCTGCTTTGCCTTTTTCTGACTTCTCCTGGAGTCCTAGAGTTCTGTTCAATTTTCAGCATCAAGCAGAAACGGTAGTTGGCAGTGAGATGGTGATTGTGAAACCAGAGCTTAATTACAAGTATGCTGAAATGAGAGCTGGTGCCAAATTCATCTCACTGAAGAGGGAGTAGAGGTTTGTTTGTTTTGTTGGATGAAGAATAATCTACAGTTTGTGTTTTTAGTTTTTGTTTTTTTCACTGAAAAATCTTCTTTTAAGTCCTCCCTCCAAAGCAGAAGATTTCACTTCATGTGTATATCTCACTTAATGCCATGGCTGAAAGTTTAAAAAAAAAGTTCATCAAAGATCTCTGGCTGACACAATCATCCTATGACCTCCAACTTTTATCTGTTCACATTAAAAAGATGTTTTTCAGGAAACCAAAAGCGATTTTGTTGACTTGGGCGTGCTTTTCAAACGTTCCTCTTCTGGCTATAGCTGGATCTAAAAAGGATGGTAAAAAGAGCAGAGACACTCAGTAACTGATTTGGTCTGACTTATTACACACATGTACACAATTTAAATGAAGCACAGCATTAAAAGAAAAAAAGTAAAACAATGAAATTAAAATAAAGTGATGGAATTAAAATGTTCAGTTTAAAATAAATATAGGACTCATTTTTGTAGAAATATGCCAAACATATATACATATTTTTACAGGTGATTATTTATTCATGCAAAATATCTGCAGCGAGTCTGTGGTTAAAAGTAAATTGCTAAATAAAACTGAAAAATTATAAACTCACCATCGGCTCTTTATAATCCCTTAATTTCTGAAGGACAAAATCTGTGTGACTCAGTGTACTTCACGCGTCCCATCAAATGACTAAAGGACTTTGGACCGCTACCGTGCCAAATGGAGAGCTGGAGAGCCGACGGGCGCGCAGGAAATGCCAAGAAAGTGAGTTTCTCGATCAGAGCGTAATCCCCTCCTTTCTTTCCAGGTAGAAAAAAAGTCTAAACGATATAAACTTCGGAGGAATTTAAACCTTGCAAATATTTGCTTGAACACTTTTTTTTTACGCAATTCCAAATGAAAGCGCACGCCGGTCTGACGCTCTTATCCAGAGGGTCTGTCCACTGTATCGCCTTTCGCAGCGCTTGGTCCATGGGCAGTCCTAGTCTACACCTGTTAGATTTCTCTCTCTCTCTCTCTCTCTCCCCCC